GTTAGATTCGCCTATAGAAATTAGCCTATGGAAAAGGCAAGGCGAAGGTGTGGGAAAAAATAGGAAAAAACAAAGCAGCATGGCTTTGGTCCTTGGACAGTTCTGAGCTCAGTGGCTGGTACATAACCCCGAACCGGATGCTGCTGTTGACTAGATTTGACTCAGCCTAGAACTATCCCATGGGGCTTCCAGGCTATCCATCTTCATGGCAGGGGACCGCCACATCTCTCTCCCAGGGAGCAGCTAGTGAGCGGCCCGGTGGGTCAGCGGCTGAGTTGCTTGACCGCAGCACCACCGGGACTCCTTTCCTGGTGCGTTTGCAGCGTTCTTCGGTTCAACCCAAAGTTCATAGCCCTCATTCCTTTCACCCATGAAGCGCCCTGGGGATTGGTTCTGAGTGAAGAAAATGAATGACTTGCGCAAACACAAACACATGACCTAAAATTCGTAAAGCACGAGATCTGGCTTTTATAGCCGTGTTTTATTTTCTCTCTCTCTGTATTTTGCTGGCAGCAGGATCACTTCGTATTTCCTTAAAGCCAGGGTCCAGTGAGCATTCAATGGACTCCACTGGAGAAGACAAAAAGAACTCGATCCATTTCAGAAAGTCTGTGGTAGAGGCAACAAATTAAATGCCAAGATAAGAATTTCAATGAAAGATAGTTAAAAAGCGGGAGTTATACTTACAGTTAAGACCTACATTTGATCATTTTATAGAAACAAATGAATCGTGGGATCCTAAACTGTACTTCAAAAATGTTAATAAAGATTTACCTAGAGTGTCAGAAATCCAACATTGGGGAGCTGTGACAGTTTTAGCTAATCTATACATTTAAAATGTGGAATAAAATAATTTGTCCATTCCATTCTCCTTTCAAGTTTCATGCTATGTCATTAGAGTACAATAAAACTTCATATCTAAATGTTAAAACATCTCATATTTCTACCTAAGAGCTATAGTCTTGTTGGCCTAATTAATATATTCTATAATGCCCCAGGAAACTCCAGTTGCCTGACAAGCATTCTAAATTTATTTGTGCAGCAAAGCACAGGGAAACATATACTAAAAATTTTTATATATTCATCATAAACTTGCTTTATCATTTGACAATTACCTTTTGTTTTTATAACACATTTTCAGCTAGAAATACTCACTTCTAACACCCTCCCTCCAGAGCTTGTTATTCTCATTATGAGGAGATAAAGCATTAAGTGACCTAACAAAGCAAGTAACGAAAAAAATCTGAATGAACAAGTTTTCTGAAAACCAGAGAATTCATTGTAGATGGGCATGCAAATTCCTAAACATTTGAAAGACAATATATATATAATGTATTTAGCACAAAGCCTACATATATTTAGGAAACTTCAAACTTTCACTGAAGAAATGGAAGATAGTGTAGGATGCTAGTCCTAGAGGTCTTTATTAAGAATTTGGCCACCATTGCCCTAAACATATACAAGTATCTTGCCAAACTCGAAATCAAACTCACTGTCCTATCAAGTCGATCGCGATGCACAGCGACCCCGCAGGGCAGAGTAGAAGTGGCCCCTGTGAGTTTCTGAGACAGTAACTCTTTACGAGAGTAGAAAGCCCTGTCATTCTCCTGAGGAGCGGCTGGCGGTTTCAAACTGTGAACCTTGTTGACCGCAGCTCTATGTGTAACCACAATGTCACCATGGTATATTGCTCTAATCGAACTTTCGCTCTACCCATCTGAACTGTAAATATGCATATTCTGAGCAAAGATGGAATTCTGTCCGACTCTTCCCTAACCAAACCCAAACTAACCCATTGCAAGTTGGTTTTAACCCCACGTGACACGCTTGGTCGGCATGGAAATATGGTGTAGCTTTCCAAGGCTGTCAACCTCCACAGAAGCATCCCGACTCATCTTTGTCCCGGGGAGCACTTAGTGGATTGAAGTGCCTACTTTGCATTTGGTAGCCCAATGCTTAACCCACTGTGCTCAAAAGACTCTTCCTACATTATACTTCATAATTAGTTAATGTTTTAGACAACTTAAGAAATGCCTAAGCCTAACAAAACAACAAACAAATCGGTCTTGGAAATACAGCCATTCAGAATGCTCCGTAGAAGCGAGGATGGCGAGACTTCTTCTTACATACTTTGGACATGTTGTCAGAAAAGACCAGTCCCATCACATGTGATAAAGTGGAGGGCGGCATAAAAGAGGGAGCCTTCAACAAGATGGATTGACATAGTGGCTGAAACAATGGGCTTAAACAGAACAATTGTAAGGGTAGCGTAGGACCAGGCAGTGTCTCGCTTTGTTGTACAACAGGTCGCTACCAGTTGGAACCAACTCAATGCCAGCTAACGACGACGACGACCCTAACATACAGAAATACCTTTTAATAGCAAGGCTGAAAATTAAAGCTGGATTTAAAATACCCAAATCAAGGGTATGGATGTATAGCCACTGCGTACCATAATCAAGCAATAGAGTTAATGCATTATTAACTTAATTGCTTTTAAATCTGCCTTACAGACCAGTTAAAAGTCTGTATTAAAAAAAAATCAGACTGGGCTTCAAGGCCAAGTCAGTAAATTAAAATGAATTTTTATAGAGTTTTTAAACACAGCGCCTCTATTAGTTTTCAATTAGCATTATGACAAACTACCGCAAATGTAGTGCCTTAAAGTGCCACACAATTTTTCTCTTAGAGTTCTTAAGGTTAATAACACTCTTGGACGACAGTGAAGGTGGCGGTGAAGCCATGTTCCTGTCTGGAGGCTGCAGGAAAGAATTCATTCTCTTGTCATTTCTAGCCTCTGCAGCTGTCTGCACGCCTACCCGCATGGGCATCTGGTCCCTTGTCACAAAGCCAGTAGGCAGCATCTTCCAATTTCTTTCTGACAGACACTTCTTCACCTTCGCTTTCCACTTTTGAAGACCCTTGTCAGTGCATTGAGCCCATCTGGCTCATCTAAAATAATCTCTCTAGTTTAAGGTCAGATGATTAGCAAACTTCATTCCATCTGCAACCCCAGTCCCCTCTTGCCAGTTACCATAACAAATTTACAGGTTTAGGGATTAGGATGTGGATATTTCTGGTACATCAGTCTTCTACCTATCATAGTACCTGAGCTGCCTCCCTAAATCTATAATATTCAACTCAAATCAATATCCAACCACTCCCAAAATGAAAGCTAAATAATGTTGATGCTATTGTGTCTCCCTGAGTCAATTCAGACTCGCAGGGACCCTATGTGATAGGTTGTAATATTTATGGAAGCAGAACGCTAGGTCTTTTCTTCTGTGGAGCGACTGGGTGCATTAAAACTGCTAAGCAAGCTTGCAGTTGGCAGCCAAGCACTTCACCTTTGCAGCACCGGGGCTCCTTCTACTATTAGTATTATTGTATTGTGGACTGGAAACTTTTAAAATTGTAAAATATTATATATTTGGATCACAGTCACATCTTTGTTTAATAAAGTCATGCCAATTTTCCCTGGCCTCAACTTCTTTCCATTCTGGCTGTTAAGTGCTTTATGGCTTTGTCCTTAAGCTTAGCAGACTACTGATTCTACTAGGGAGTTTTGTAAGTGTTAATACTTCTATCAATGAACAATCAACTGTGTATCGAATTATGCTACACTTAAGGGCAATGCAGTTGAAAGTTAACATATATTGCTTATTATATTTGCTTAATGTTATGGCAAAATATTTCTTTTCTTATTTTTACCCTGAAGGTTCATCTCATAATATAATTTTTAAAAACTGGTTAAGAAAATACTGTTCTACACATATACATTTCACAAAGGCATTTTTTAGGAAGAGTAATAGCAGGGGAGTAGATTCTTAGTATTGACATCAATTCTGGAAAGTTGGCCCGACTCATGGTGATAATGCACAACAGAATGAAACACTTTCCACTTCTGTATTAACTCAGAATTGACTATGGATCAGATCATTGAGATTCATCATTTGCATCAACTGACTTTGGGAAGGATGTAGTCAGACCATTTCCATAGGCAGTCTTATTCTGGAAGCTTTGCTGAAATCTGCTCAGCTTTATAGAACATGATAGCTTCCAGGGACACATAGATGATGGCTGCCCAAGAGGTGCCTTCACTGGGACTAGAACCTGGGTCCTTCCCCACAGAAGGTGAGAAGTTTACCAGTGAACCACTTCTCACCTAGTCTAGAAACGACAGAAAGAAGACTCAGACTTTACTTGGCCTGCCTGAGGCCACACAGCTAATCCACACAGCACTACTATCTCCTGATAAGAAGTGACTTGTCCTCTGACCATTGTAACAATGCTCACCTCAGACCTAAAATCGTCAACAGTGGCTCTCATCAATTCATCACTTTGTAATCAATAGTCTAATTTATCTGCACTTGGTGGGATTGTAGAAACTGTATTTGATCATCCTGTCCTATGACAATGAACTAAGCCCATTTTAAATTTTACAAAACTTAAAAAAATGTCAAATAATAAAGAGCAGCTGTGTGCTAAAAGGAATGATCGTCTAAAATGGACAGCAAAAGGGGGCAGGACGGGTCTAAATGAATGCTATTGGTAATTGTGAAAAATCAGAGAAAAATCTGAAGATAGGTTAGCTTTTATATGATGGAAATGTTTCTTAAATCCAGAGTTGACTCTTGGTGGCTGAAGGTAAGAGGAATGTAAGCAATTTTTACATGAATTTTCCTGGAGACATGAGTTACAAGTGTTCTTAGACTTGGTATAATTTGAGCAACATCAGGAGTACTTAGAAATTATGTCATTTTCCAAAGACTTTTTCATCTCCAACACACCAGCTGAACATACACTTCTAACATAATACATTACAAATAGCACACTGATTCCTAAGCTAATTTCTTCCAAAGTTTAAACACACATTTCCTTTAGATAATATGACTGAATTCTATTTTTTTATTAAATAAAGCTATGGCAGGGGACCTTTTTAAGTTATCACTATAACTTTATTTTTGTGGTATTATAAAGGAGAATTAAAATCAACTTACTTGATGTAATAGGGAACTTTATTATGTGAAATGGATCTTTGCCACGGCAGCTGCACCGACGCTGAGGAAACAAAGGAAGGTTATTGGAAACACTGTGAACCAAAAAGCTTTCCACCTTAATGCAAACCAACTGGACACGTTTTACAGCAAATTCAATGAGAACAGCTCTGGGTTTCGAGCTGCATTCCTTTAATTATGAAATCAGCGAGGCCAAACAAAGACTGGCTTTAAAGATTCATTTGAAGCAAGGAATGAAACAAAACAGTCAGTTCCTAATGTCTTGATCACTAATATTTTAAAATACTTTAAGAAAATTAAGTTGTTCTTTTTAAAACATCATGACTTAAAACTTAAAACCAATCCCATCTGGAAACCGAACCTGTGCTTATTTTTGGACATCCCCAAAGCCAAAGTGAATTTTGGCCTGCTTGATCCAGATTAACATCTAGATTTCTAAAGATGTAAGTTTCCAGACCACTAATAGGTATTCCTAATTTTGCAACATATTCACGGTGAGTAGCTATTCAGTAGAGAGGACAATCAGTTACATACATTCAAATACATAAAATAAGAAAGGCTAATGAAAAGAGACTACACATTGTAAAGAGCAGAGGCAATTATTGAGCCTCAGTTCCCAGATTTATTTGGCTTACCACCCCCTTTTCAGGAAAAAGAAAATAATCAGCTCACCCATGGCAATTACAAACTTTTGTACTACACCCATCTCCGAGGATAAAGCATCGGTATCTGCTATTGCAGCCCCATGGGATCATTTCAGTGTCCCCCAGAGAGGCAGTGTCACCTCTTTGAGAAACACTGATCTAGAGAGAAGCATCCTAGACTAAGGTGACCAGATGTCCTGGTTGCGGAGGGGCAGTCCCGATTTTTGGAAAGAATGCCCGACAAGTTAGGGTATACAGTTTTCGGCTGCCATGTGGCTATTTTGCCAGGATACGAGTTTTATCAATGGTGTCCCGCTTTAGCAATGTTAAAATCTGGTCACCTTATCCTAGACGCATGTTTTTTTTATCAGAAATATACAGAAAGTAGATTTTTCCTGATTTTACACTACATTATAACCATAATTCAATGTTTACTGAAGTACTCAAATTTTTAACTTCAGTTATTCGTTATTTATAAAATACATATATAATTCTCACATGAAACCGGTGTTTCCCAGTATCATATACAAGATCTAGAGCACCAAACATTTTTCTAAATAAAGTCATACACAACTAAATTCAAGTAAGGCTGAGCAAGTATCTTTACATCTCAAATTCCCAACGAGCCAATAAATGTCACGCCATCATATTAATCTCACATAAAAATACAACACTCGAAGCTAAGCAAAAAATTTTCTAATATATCTTTAGAGAAGGAAGCAACACATTCCAATTGCATTTGAGAGACCGAGAACTCAATGCCTGCCGGTGAACGGGCTTGCCCAAGCACTGGTAGCCAGGTCAGACATGGGCTGTGCTGGGCTGCGTCTCCGGATTCGGAGCGCCAATCTACTCGACAGAAAGGTAAGCACTTTCTCCAGCTGTGTCCACGTAGAGTATAAAAGGGGCAAGAACCTGAGGAACCAGCTATATCCTATTTCTGATGAGCGCTAACCTCATTTCATTCTTGGCACCCGGCTCGTCGATCAGTGTTACTTGGTGCCTAACTAAACAGGCTCCTTTGATAACCATGGCTGAAGTCCAAGCAATAACATGCAGATTCCAAGCACAAAAGGATGATAATTGTTAAATCTATTAATGGGGATTTTGTTTCACTTTTGCACTCATGTTAATTATGGTTATGATTTGAATAACCTCACCTCCGTGGACTGCCAGTGCTAGACAAGAGGCACACCGTGTGCATGACTCTGGCAACACTTCATTTCAGAAAGCATTATTTTGTTTCCCACGAGGAGAGAAAGTGCAGTGTTTTCTCCATACTAATAAATGATGGGTTCCTAGTACTGTAAATAGAATCTCATTGATGTTTTACAAAATGTCTCCTTAGTTTGATTTCAGTAGATAGTTTTATATTTGATAACATTTAGATTAAGAAACCTGAGCTACTCATAGCTAATGGGTATACCAAAAGCTGATAGTGTCCAGTTTTAAGATGTACCTCACCACATAGGTTGACAATTACCTTCCAGGAAAGATGACAGGAGGAAGGGGAGGAAGGAAGAGAGGGGAGGAGGAGGTAGAGGAGAAGGAGGAAGAAGAAGAGAAGCAGACTAGAGATGGGTGAGTGTGGGACATAAAAGAAAAAGTTCAGGGAGAAATGACTCATTTGGATGTAAGGAATTGTAAAAGTAAGAAAAGCCTGAACTTTGATGGAGGTGAAGTCCAATGTCAACAGCGAGGAAAAGGTTAAGGGGAAATACAAATGTAAGGAATTTACTGAAGGACAATATGTGACTTCAGTTTTCTTTAGGTGAAATTCAAGGACCTCAAATGACTTACTCAAGAGCTCCTGAACAGTCCATAGATGAAAAAATCCCAGAGGGAGAATATTCGATAAAAATCTACTCTGTGCTTTGGCTAAATCTGCATTACTTGACTAGAAGGAAAACTACATATGATTGCCCTAAACCTAATGAACCCAAATCTTCTCATTTTCAGATTTCTGGGGAATGAAATTTTGGACTCTTCACACTTCAGGTGCATTTAAAAGGCAGGTGCATTTTTAAAAGGGACACATGGATATTAACATTTTAAATATAAACTTGTTTTTGCTGTTTAGAAACGTGTAATCTTTCTCCTGTGTTAAAGCAACAATGCAAAAGGTTCAGTGGAAAACCACGACTGAAGCTACACTTCACTTCTGGCCCCCACTGAAGATTAGGACCACAGGAGGAAGAGTAACCAACAGGGGGGTCATTGTGGTCAAGGTCCCCTCTGACACATTTTAGTTCAGATAAGTAATTACACTGATAAGGAAGAAGATGGCCTCTGAAGGCAAATGAAAGAAGCTGCTAATTTGTTCAGTTAATGGGCTCAAACAAACAAGCTTATTAGCACTTACTAGAGAGAAAATGCTGAGAGGAAGGTCCAAAATCTCGATGGGCTTCTTGAAGCTGTTTAAGGCGATCATCCACAGATACCTGAAGACACACAAACACAGACACACATGGAATCATTTACTTTCAAAACCATGAAGGAAGCAAAAATTATATATAGAGAGATAAATATATATACACGTATGTATATATATTATATATATATTAT